AGCACAGGGTGACATCCTTCATGTGTCCCCGGGCAGGGCACAGGGGGGGGACAACGAGTCCAGTGCAAGGTTGACGGGGAGACGGGGCCCAGGCGCCCCCTCCCCTGCCGTGGGGGTCCCTCCCGGCGCCGACACCAGGATGGCCAAGGACAGGGCCCCTGCTCAGTTGACGGTGTCGCTGTGGCTCTGTCCCTCCACGCTGTCTGTCCCGCTGTAGGACGTCTGTATTCCGCTCAGCCCCTCCACGCAGAGGGCACCTGCAGGGACAGCAGGGGAGGGACAGGTCAGGGGCCATCATGGCTGCTGGGGTGGCCCAGCACACGCTGGGCTGCACCTTCTCCAGCCGCTGGCACCACGTCCCCAAGGCAGCGTGGGGGGGTCTGTCCTCTCCCCCCACCCCACAGAAAGACACAGGCACCCAGTGGGGCAGAGCGGGCACTGAGCCACTGGTGCCTGTGACCCTGGCCTGGCAAGAGGCAACCCGTCCCCCACATTGGGCTACCAGCACAGAGAGCAGCCCCTGCCACCCCTCAGTGACCCGAGGGTCAGCATGGTCATGGCGGGGGTGGATCCTGCCCTCCCCCAGGGCACAGTGGGCAGGCACAGCCCCCAGCTCCGGGGCCAGGAGCTGCAGAGGTGGGGTGGTGGCCCTGTCCCATGAGGGTCCCCCCCCGGGCAGGGCTACGAGTGTCCCCGCAGCCAACCCTGCCACCCCACCCCCAGCTGGGACAGGGATCCCACAGCTGGGGACATCGGGAAAGACACTTCTGCTTTAGGCCAGGCTGGCACAGGACACGGGGCTCCCAGTGCCCCCAGCCACATGCCCGGCTCCCCCCGGTGCCCCCAGCCCCACTCACGGTAGCGGATACGGATGGGCCAGATCATGATGCAGCACAGAGCGGCAACGGCGGCGACGGCAATGCCTCCGGTGACCAACACCATCACCCAGTGGTAGAAGTTGACGCAGGCAGAGCAGCAGAGCTCAGTCCTGCAGGGAGAAGGCAGGGACATGGCTTGGTGGCCAAGGCTGGAGTGTGGCCCCGTGTTCCCCAATGCCCACATCCTTGGGGTCAGGACTGGTTCACACTGGGATGCAAGGGAAAGGACCAGGGCGAAGAGGGAGGGCAGCACCCTGGACACTGAGATCCCCAGCCCCCTCGTGCATCCCTCGTCTAGGGCCAGAAGAGAGTCGAGGGAGGATTTAAGACAAAACGGAGCTGGTTTCCACCCGTGTCTCTTGCTCTGAACCAGAGATATTTGCTGCCTGGCCCCCCGGCCATGCGGCTGGAGCTGCCCGGCAGGGACGCTTACGGGCACGGGTGCAGGTTCTGGATCACCATCACAGCCAGGCCGTTGGCCATCTTGTCTGTGAAGCTCATGGCGCCGTAGACGAAGGCACCGCTGTGCTGCAAGGGGAGAGGAAACCTCATGGCGGCTGCGCCGAGGCCAGCGGGCGCCGGCAGCGAGAGCCTTGTGCCCTCTCATGGGCAGAGCCCATATTACAGCAGGGCCCGGGCACAGGGGATGGGGCTGCCCACGTCCCACAGCGCAGCCCCCTCCCAGGGCTCCCCAGAGCCCCCAGCCCCGCACCAGTGACTGCCCCATCCCGCAGGCTCCGAGCTCTGCGGGGACAGCCCAGTCCGGCCCGGCCGGCAGGAGCAGATGTACCGTGTTGGTGCCGATGAGGTCTGCCGTCATGGAGAGGGAGGTGACCAGGATGGTGGCGGAGCCAGCCCCAAGCAGCGCGGCTGCCCCGTAGATCTCCGCTCCCATCTGCCTGGCCAGCATCACCCAGGAGGCAAAGGCCAAGATGATCAGAATGCCCACGAAGTAGGTCAGCTGCTCCGGGCCAGCGTGGGGACAAGGGAGAAGGGAGAGCTCAGACCCCAGCGTGGCTGACAACCGGAGAGGCAGGGGCCAGCGGGGAGGGCACGGGGGCCACCAGCTGCTGACAACCCACGGGGGACAGCCCTGGCTCCCTCCCAGATGGTTTGAAACAAGGAGCCCCCAAACATCTTGCAGTGGTCCAGGGTGTTTTACAGGCTGTTGGATGCAGCCTAAGTGGGCCACCAGCTACGCAGGACATGGGGACAACCCAACTGGGAGGAGAGGTGGGGGCTTACTGGAGAGGGTGAAGGAGGATGCACTGGAGAGGCAGCCCCCTCCTGCTGGCACTGCAGACCCCAATGACTGCCTCAGCCAAACCCTCCCTCTGCCTCTCATGGGCACCACGGGGCTCTTCCAGCCCGGTCAGGACTGACTTTGGACCAACATCGCTTTCCCCAGCCTCAGGGACGTGCAGGACAGACCAATGTCCCTCCCCTTGTCCCACCACCCGCACTGCCCAGCAGGGGGCGCCTGCAGAAGATGCAGGAGGAGTCACACAATCCCACACTGGTTTGGGTGGGAAGGGACCTTAAAGCCCCCCCAGTGCCACCCCCTGCCCTGGGCAGGGACACCTCCCACCACACCACGTTGCTCCAAGCCCCCTCCAACCTGCCCTTGAACCCCTCCAGGGATGGGGCAGCCACAGCTTCTCTGGCCAACCTGGGCCAGGCTCTCACCCCCCTCACACCAAACAAGTTCTTCCCCACAGCTCCAAGGTCTCCCCAGAGCCTTCTTTTCTCCAGGCTGAACCTCCCAACTCTCTCAGCCCCCCCTCCCAGCAGAGGGGCTCCAGCCCTCCCAGCACCTCTGGGGCCTCCAACAGCCCCTGCTCTCCAGCCAGGCTCAGGTGTGCTGGGTGCTCTGCTCACTTGTGTGACGGGGATCTGGCCCCTGGCCACCTCCTCGGGTCTAACTCAAACGTCACCGGGCCCCCCAGGACTCACGTTTCGACCTATCCACTTATTGACAGGCTTCATGAGGAGGGAGGAGAGGAAGCCACTGATGTACATCACCAGGGGGATGGTGGCGATGTATTTCTGCAAGAGACAGGGAGAAGACAGATGAGCTCTGACTGTTGGCACAGGACCCCTGCCCATGAGACCTCGAGACGCAGGCAGGGACCTGCCCTGTGCCCACCTTGGGCAGCAGCAGCGAGTTGGTCAGGTACATGGCGATGTAGGTCTGGGACAGATTGACGATGAGCCTGGTGGACATGTAGAGCACGGCCACCTGTGAGGGGACAGAGACAGGGCAGCACCGCTCGGGGTGAGAAGGAAAGGCTGGCACCTTCCGTGCCCAACCCTGCCATGGCACAAATGCCCACAGGTGGTAGGTGGGTGCCCAGTAGAGCCCACCTCTCCATCCTCACCTTCACTGGAGGGTGCCCACAGCACCTGGGCAGGGTGGCAGCCCATCAGAGGCACCACGAGCTCTGCCCGCAGCCGTACCTGGTAGAAGGCAGGCTCCAGCAGCCAGTCTCTCCAGATCAGCAGTGGGCTCGGGGGGGTCGGGGGCTCCTTCTGCAGCAGCGGCGTGCCCTCCTCCAGCTGGGGCAGCGAGCCCGGCGGGTACGGCTTCTCTTTGGTGCCCAGGTGGAAGATGAGGGAGAACAAGGCCCCCAGCCCCACCACAATGAGGGACAGGTCCTGGGTGAGACAGAGCAGTGTGAGCAGAGCAGGGGGTGCCCTTTGCCTGCCCATCATCCACCCCCCCGCAGTCTGGTGATAAAGAGGGGTTCCAAAAAACAGGGAGAGCTCAGTGAGGCCCCTGCCCAGTGCGGTAGGTGAGATTTCAGGGCTCTGCTATTTCATTCCCTCAGGTACCTCCCCTGCTGAGCCTTAGAATCACAGAATCCTTATGGTTGGAAGGGACCTTTCAGAACATCGAGTCCATCAACCCAACCCTGCCCAAACCACCACTGACCCGTGTCCCTCAGCACCACGTCTGCCCGGCTTTTAAATCCCTCCAGGGATGGTGACTCCACCACTGCCCTGGGCAGCCCATTCCAAGGCTTAATAACCCTTTCAGTGAAGGCATTATTCCTAATCTCCAATCTGAACCTCCCCTGGGGCAACTGGAGGCCATTTTCTCTTGTCCCATCGTCTGTTCCTTGGGAGAAGAGACCGACCCCCCCTGGCTACACCCTCCTTTCAGGGAGTTGGAGAGAGCCAGAAGGTCTCCCCTCAGCCTCCTTTTCTCCAGGCTGAACCCCCCCAGCTCCCTCAGCCTCTCCTCACAAGACTTGTGCTCCAGACCCCTCACCAGCTCCGTGTCCCTTCTCTGGACCCGCTCCAGCCCCTCAATGGCCCTCCTGTCACGAGGGGCCCAAAACTGGACACAGCCCTTGAGGTGGGGCCTCACCAGTGCCCAGTCCAGGGAGACAGTCACCCCGGTCCTGCTGGCCACGCTATGGCTGACACAGACCAAGGCTGCTGTTGGACTCCTTGGCCACCTGGGCACACTGCTGGCTCACGTGCCACTCAGGGTAGAGAAGATGTCACGGATTGAGCCCTGGCACTTACCCGAAATATAGGGACATCCTGGATGCCCAGGTGCTCTGTGCGGTCGGGCTGGTCCACCTGGAAGTTCAGCAGTAGCCAGGCCAGGCCGTAGACAGTGATATTGGCCATGACGGTAAAGGCGTACCTGAGGGGACAGAGCACCTCAGGGTGACACGGAGAGACAAGCACAGCTCCAGGCACAGTGGGGACACCTCAACCCAAGGCTGCCCTCCAAGCCAGGCATGCTATGGCCAGCTTTGTACCCCGTGTCATTGCTGAGGTGACACCTCCAAGAGCACACAGCATCTGGCCAGGCATTAGATTACTGGTGCACCTCCCAGCATGCCCAATCCAAGCCTTGGGGTGCAACTGGGAGGAAACCAAGACTCCTCCAGATCAGTCTGTCCATAGTCACAGCTCACCTCTGCCCCAAGGATGCCCCGAGCTGCCCATCCCGCTATCCCCAGAGCCGGACTCCTTGTCCCCAGCTCTGCCCCACATCCTCCCTGTCCCACTGCAGTCCCTGCTCACCTGCCACGAGGAGAACTTCCTCCCACTGGGGACACAACCAAGCCCTGCTCCATCTGAACACTCCTTCCCACAGCCCGATCCTGCCGGGTACAGGGCCCTGAGCTGGGCTCCCCACACAGAGCTGCTGGCACTGCCCAGCCTGGCCCCGGGGACATCCTGACCCACAGGACAGCCCCCACAGGGCCCTGCCCATCCCCTGCGGGCATCCTATGGGGGATTCCATCCCTCCCCTGTGAGCATCACCCTGCAGTCCCAAAGGAGAAGTGTCCCCAGCTCAGGGAAGTGCCCCATGGGCTGTGCCACCAACATCCCTGGCATCAGGACATTCCCTCCTGCTACCACAGGGTTTGGGCCACCAACCCAGAAGACCAGTGTCACTTGGACACACGCTGCAGGACACCTACAAGGCCCAGTCCCGATCCTGCTGTACCAAGGGCTCGTGTGCCATGGCACACAGGGGACATCAGACCCCTGGCACCCAGGGGACCTCTTGTCACACAAGCGATGGGACCTGCCACGGGCAGGACTGCTCCCCCGGGTTCAGGGGACACCCAGGTCCGGCCGTGCTCACCTGAAAGCCGTGAGCTCAACCTTCTCATGGTCACTGGTCACCAGCTCGGGGATGAGGGAGAGGTGGGAGACCTGCGTGGCTGCCCAGCCAAACTGGAAGATGACGATGAAGGGGAGGTAGTAGATGAAGGCTGCCCACTGTGGAGTGTTTTCCTTGCAACCCAGGCAGGGGTTGAAGATGAAGGGGAAGGACACGAGGACGCAGGTAGTGCCTGGGAAGAGAGTGAGGTGGTGAGAAGCTGCAAACCCTGTTTCTCTGAGACACCAATGCCGCCAGCTGGCTCAGACAGACAGACAGACAGCCCTCTGCTGGGACAGGTCCTACCCCACGGGGCTGGGGAAGGAGGTGAGCTTGGAGCCCCAGACCCCCCTCACCCCATCCTGCACATCCTTCCCTCTTGCACCCAGTGGTGAGACAGACAGACAGACAGGCGGACACTTGTCAGGAGACTTTTCCCCAGTCAAGTTCCCCCCTCCCCAAAAGTCCACCTTGCACCCGCTCTGACCCCTCTAAATGCCAGAGGACAGGCCACCACGACGCACAGCCACCAAGGGCTTCTGTCCCCATCTCCAGCCTGCAGATAACCAGCCCCAAGGCCACAGGCCACCCTGCCACCTGCCCACGGGTGATAAGGCACCCCGAGGGCCAGGAGAGCTCTGGGCTGTCCTGCAGGCACAGGGCCAGCCTGTCTGTCCCCTTGTCCCATCTCCCGTGGGGCTGGCAGAGGGACCCACGCTCTCCCCACGCCTGCAGAAGTCACCTGCAGAGCAATGGCCAGGGACACCCCCAGTGCAACGGGGGGGGGGACAGGAGCAGATCTGTCCCCCACGCCAGGCTGGGAGCCACGGGAAGGTCCCGGCTGAGTCAGGGACAGCAGGGCCAGGCTCCTCCCTCTGTCGCAGCGTGACGGCGGGGACGCTGGCGTGGGCACGCCAGCCCGGAGCAGGCAGGGACAGGCTGGCTTCTGCCTCCCCTGGCACAGGGTTACGGAGCAAATCTGCTGAGATGCTTCCGCGGAGACAGCCCGTGTCCTGCCCTGCGTGTCCCCGGCTCCACCGACTGCTGCTAAAGAGCCACAGGAACTCGTTCCCATAACTGAGGGGAAACCACAGTGCTTCCCCACGTCCCCGAGGTCCCCTCTCCAGGGAACCCTGCAAGATCCTCCTTCTCAGGAGTGATTTCTCCTTCTCTCGCTCATGAACGGCAATTCCTCCAGCCCATCATTTCCGCATGGCACAGCCACCCCAGCTGCCACGGGGCCGGGGCAAAGCCCTCCTCCTTGCACCGAGGGCAGGCAGTGACAATTCCAGCCCGGATCCATCCCGAGCAGGAACCCCAGAAGGGTGCTGGGTGCTGCCCTGCATCGGCTCAGAGTCAGCTCTGCTGCTCCAGGAGCTCCCCAAGGACAGGAGACTGTTGGAGTGGGGCCAGAGGAAGCCCCGGAGATGCTGGGAGGGCTGGAGCCCCTCTGCTGGGAGCGGGGGCTGAGAGAGTTGGGGGGGTTCAGCCTGGAGAAGAGAAGGCTGCGGGGAGACCTTGGAGCCCCTTCCAGTCCCTCAAGAAGGGGGGCTCCAGGAAAGCTGGGGAGGGACTCTGGATGAGGGAGGGGAGCCCTAGGAGGAGGGGGAAGGGTTGGACCCTGCAAGAGGGGAGATGGAGCTGAGCTGTGGGGAAGAACTTGTTTGGTGGGAGGGTGGTGAGAGCCTGGCCCAGGTTGGCCAGAGAAGCTGTGGCTGCCCCATCCCTGGAGGGGTTCAAGGGCAGGTTGGAGGGGGCTTGGAGCAACCTGGTGTGGTGGGAGGTGTCCCTGCCCAGGGCAGGGGGTGGCACTGGGGGGGGCTTTGAGGTCCCTTCCAACCCAAACCAGTCTGTGACTTGGGCACACCGTGGTGTCTCTGCACCAGACAAGCCCAATGGGAAGAATCCAGGAAGGTTCAGACCAGACCAGGCCTCCTCTGCTCCCTGCCACAGGGGTGTGGGTTTTAACTGAGCCCCATCTGGAGGATCAGGGCTGCTCTGCCCCCTCCCCAGTCCCAGGGTCCTGTGGGACCCCTAAGGGCTGTGAGGGACTTGCCCGTGTCCCCAGGGGAGCTGGGGCAGGAGCTGCGGTCCCCAGGCTGCTGCAGCCCCCGCACCATCACCTCCATCCCACACGCAGAAGACTCCTGTCACTCCCTCCTCCTCCTCAGGGCCCCCAGGGACAGTCAGTGCCCACCACGGGGGCCACCCCCATGGAGCCGTGTGACCTGCATCCCTACACCACCACGGCCCCAGGTCTGCCCAAACAAACTCAGCTCCCTGTGAGCCAGAGGGGCCCTGGGGACCCCCTGTTCTCCCAAGCAGGGCCGTGGGAACACCCCAAGAGCACCCTGCTCATCCCTGCAGCACCCCCGGGCAGGGAGCAGAGGTCCAGGCTCTCATCTCCTGGCCCTGGGGGGCAGGATCAGAGGGATGCCAGGCTGCTGGGACATGTGCCCGGGGCAGGGAATTCAGAATGGGGCTGCCAGACCAGCTCCGACAGGCAGCAAAGAGCCGCTCACCCTGCCCACCCCGCTGCGGCAGGAAGCTGCCCCCCAGTAAAAGCCGGCGTGTGGGGTGAGCCACCCTGGACCACCGGCACTGGCAGCCCAGCGCCGCGGTGGGGAGATGCCACCGATAGCAACTCGTGGTATCTACCCCCCTCCACCGCCCCGAGACTGCGGTTTCACAACGTTTCCTCTGATCTGAGCACGAGTTGCCACCAGATGAGCCGCCCCGCTCCCACGCGAAGCATCTCGCCGCAGCGTGACTGAGGGTGCCCAGAGCGGTACCGGCACAGCCCGGTTCCAACGGGTTTGCTGGCCCTGCTCGGTCACACCGTGGTCAACGGAGGGATAACCCGTGCTCCGGCCGGGGAAACGCAGCTCCATCCCTTCCTCCGTCCCCCAGGGCCAGGCAGGGAGCGGAGCCGCTCGGGGTAGCACAGCCCTCGTGCAAGCCGTGATTCACAACTTCCCCTTCGGCACAAGCAGCTGCAGGGGACCTGCCCGGGGAGGGGGGGAAGCACACGGCTGCTTCCCTAAATCTGGGGCGCAAACGGAGCTGACACCGTGGCGGGGGGTGAAGCTGCCCCCCCATTCACCCCCCCAACACCCTCCGTGACGTGCGGGGAGATCAGCCAGCGTATCAGGCCAGCGTTGGGTTGCACGAAGTGGTTGGCCAAGATAAATTTGGGATCAAGATAAGAGCACCCACCCTACAACCGTCCTCCCTCCGCGCACGGGTCCGCTCCGGGAGAGCCAGCGCTCGGGCGTTAGTGGGAGGAAACACGGGGGGGTCTTTATCTCTGGCTGCCAATGGCACCGATCCACGCCGGGGAAGGCTCCTGCGCCGGTCGTGGCACTGAGGACCCTTCTCCAGGTCACGCCGTCCCCTCAGAGAGGGACCTCGACACAGGAGTCCCCACCAGCCCCTGCACCTTCCAGCGCCTGGAAGAAGTCACACTGAGCCGGTGCCTCCCCCGCAGGTTCCTCACTCACCGCTGCCAGAAACGCCGCACACGGGGCAGGCAAGGTCCCCGTGGTCACCCCTGGGGACAACCGAGCCCTGCCCGGCCACCGGCAAGTCCCAGGTAAACCCCCGGGCTCCAGGGAAAGCCCAGATTTTACTGTTGGTCTCGTTTTTGCTGTAGCATCAACCGTCCAAGCACACAACTCGATGCCACCCCCATGCAGGGGGACATGGGGACACCCTGCAGACCCCCCCCCCGCTGGGCAGGGGTGACCTGAGGGACAGCAGGGACCCCCGGCTGCCAGTGCCCAGGCAGCACCCACCTCTGGGATGGGGACATCGTGGTGCCCCTTCCCCATTTGGGTTCAGCCCCCCCAGAGCACCCGCTGGCCCCTACATGTGGGGGGCACCCCCTCACCGCCATGGGGGACGCTGCCCCTCCCTATGGGCACCCCACAAAGGCACCTCCCGGTCTGCCCCTCTCCATGCAGGGCACCCTGGGCCCATCTTCTCCCCCCTTCAGGGTACTTCTCCCCCCACCACCCCGATACTGCCCAGGGCTGGTTCCCCCCCCACCCAGGGCAGCCCCCCTTCCATGGGGCGGCTGCTCCCTTCCACTCCAGGGCACCCAGTTCTGCTCACCCCCAGGGCTGCCCCTCTCCATCGGGGGGATCCCAGTCCCCACTGCACTGCCACGGGGGCTGTGCCCCCCGCCAGGAAGGGGGGCGTCCAGGTGGGCTTCCCTAGGACCAACCCCCTCCACCCAGGGCACCCCAGAAAAAAACCCTGGCTGGTCCTGCACCCCAGAAAGGCTCCCCTAGGGCCACCCCTCTCCACCCAGGGCACCCCAGAACGGAACCCGGGAGTGGTGCTGCACCCCACAAAGGCTCCCCTGGGGCTATCCCTCTCTACTCAGGGCTCCCCAGAAAGGCTCCCCTGGCCCTGTACCACCCCCTCAGGGCACCCCAGAAAGGCTCCCTGGTTCCCCGCCCATCCAGGGCACCCCCAGCTCTGAACCCCACCCCAGAAAGTCACTCCTGGGGCTGATGCCCCTCAGAGCACCCCAGAGAGGCACTCACCCCCAGAACAGAGCACATAGCCAAGAAAGCACCCCCAGGGCTACCCATCTCCACCCAGAACACCCCAAGGCTCACCTTCCACCCAGAGCACCCCAGAAAGGCATTTAACCCCAGAACTGACTCCATATGGCAGAAAGACCTCCCCATCTCCACTCACAGCACCCCAGAAAGGCACACATACCCAGAACTGACCCCATACCCCAGAAAGGAACCCCGGGGTGGGGCTGCACCCCAGAAAGACTCCCCCAGGGCCCCCCATCTCCACCCAGGACACCCCAGAAAGGCACTCACCCCAAGAACCGACCCCATACCCCAGAAAGGAACCCCGGGGTGGTGCTGCACCCCAGAAAGACTCCCCCAGGGCCACCCATCTCCACCCAGAGCACCCCAGAAAGGGACTCACCCCAAGAACCGACCCCATACCCCAGAAAGGAACCCCGGGGTGGTGCTGCACCCCAGAAAGGCACTCACCCCAAGAGCTGACCCCATACCCCACAAAGACCCCCCAGGCCCACCCTTCTCCACCCCGAGCACCCCAGAAAGGCATTCAGACCCAGAACTGACTCCATATCCCACAAAGACCCCCCAGGGCCACCCTTCTCCACCCAGAGCACCCTAGAAAGGCATTTAATCCCAGAACTGACTCCATATCCCACAAAGACCCCCCAGGGCCACCCTTCTCCACCCAGAGCACCCTAGAAAGGCATTTAATCCCAGAACTGACTCCATATCCCACAAAGACCCCCCAGGCCCACCCTTCTCCACCCAGAGCACCCTAGAAAGGCATTTAATCCCAGAACTGACTCCATATCCCACAAAGACCCCCCAGGCCCACCCATCTCCACCCAGAGCACCCCAGAAAGGCACTCACCCCAAGAACCGACCCCATACCCCAGAAGGGAACCCCGGGGTGGTGCTGCACCCCAGAAAGGCTCCCCCGGGGCCACTCATCTCCACTCACAGCACCCCAGAAAGGCACTCATACCCAGAACTGACCCCATATCCCACAAAGACCCCTCAGGCCCACCCATCTCCACCCAGGACATCCCAGAAAAGCATTTAACCCCAGAACTGCCTCCATATGGCAGAAAGACCCCCCCATCTCCACCCAGAGCACCCCGGAAAGGCATTTAACCCCAGAACTGACTCCATATCGCAGAAAGACGCCCCCCCATCTTCAGTCAGAGCACCCCAGAAAGGCACTCATACCCAGAACTGACCCCATATCCCACAAAGACCCCTCAGGCCCACCCATCTCCACCCAGGACATCCCAGAAAAGCATTTAACCCCAGAACTGCCTCCATATGGCAGAAAGACCCCCCCATCTCCACCCAGAGCACCCCAGAAAGGTACTCATACCCAGAACTGACTCCATATGGCAGAAAGACCCCCCCATCTCCACCCAGAGCACCCCGGAAAGGCATTTAACCCCAGAACTGACTCCATATCGCAGAAAGACTCCCCCCCATCTTCAGTCAGAGCACCCCAGAAAGGCACTCATACCCAGAACCGACCCCATACCCCAGACAGACCCCCCAGGGCCACCCATCTCCACCCAGGACACCCCAGAAAGGGACTCACCCCCCAAACCGACCCCATACCCCCGAAGGGAACCCCGGGGTGGTGCTGCACCCCAGAAAGGCTCCCCAGGACCACCCACCTCCACCCAGGACACTCCAGGGCCACCCATCTCCACCCAGAGCACCCCAGAAAGGCATTTAACCTCAGAACTGACTCCATACCCCACAAGGACCCCCCAGGGCCACCCATCTCCACTCAGAGCACCCCAGAAAGGTACTCATACCCAGAACTGACTCCATATCGCAGAAAGACTCCCCCCCATCTTCAGTCAGAGCACCCCAGAAAGGCATTTAACCTCAGAACTGACTCCATACCCCACAAGGACCCCCCAGGGCCACCCATCTCCACCCAGGACACCCCAGAAAGGGACTCACCCCCCAAACCGACCCCATACCCCCGAAGGGAACCCCGGGGTGGTGCTGCACCCCAGAAAGGCTCCCCAGGACCACCCACCTCCACCCAGGACACTCCAGGGCCACCCATCTCCACCCAGGACACCCCAGAAAGGCACTCTCCCCAAGAGCTGACCCCATACCCCACAAAGACCCCCCAGGGCCACCCTTCTCCACCCAGAGCACCCCAGAAAGGCATTCATACCCAGAACTGACTCCATATGGCAGAAAGACCTCCCCATCTCCACCCAGAGCACCCCAGAAAGGGACTCACCCCAAGAACCGACCCCATACCCCAGAAAGGAACCCCGGGGTGGTGCTGCACCCCAGAAAGACTCCCCCAGGGCCACCCATCTCCACCCAGGACACCCCAGAAAAGCACTCACCCCAGGAGCTGACCCCATACCCCACAAAGACCCCCCAGGCCCACCCTTCTCCACCCAGAGCACCCCAGAAAGGCATTTAACCTCAGAACTGACTCCATACCCCACAAGGACCCCCCAGGGCCACCCATCTCCACCCAGAGCACCCCAGAAAGGTACTCATACCCAGAACTGACTCCATATCGCAGAAAGACTCCCCCCCATCTTCAGTCAGAGCACCCCAGAAAGACTGGGGTCACTGGGAAGATGGGGTGACCGCTGGGGTCGTGGGGATCCCCGACTTGGACGCGTGCTGGGGTTACTGGGAGGACTTGGGGGGGAGTACTGGGGTCACTGGGAAGATGGGGTGACCGCTGGGGTCGTGGGGATCCCCGACTTGGACGCGTGCTGGGGTTACTGGGAGGACTTGGGGGGGAGTACTGGGGTCACTGGGAAGATGGGGTGACCGCTGGGGTCGTGGGGATCCCCGACTTGGGCATGTGCTGGGATTACTGGGAGCAGCGTGGGGGGAGTACGGGCATCATGGGGACCCTTAATCTGGGCACATACTGGGATCACTGGGAGCTGCATGGGAGTGCTGGGGTGACTGGGAAGATGGGGTGACTGCTGGGGTCATGGAGACCCCCCAGTTGGGCGCGTGCTGGGGTTACTGGGAGGAATGTGGGGGGAGTACTGGAATCATGGGGATCCCAGCTTGTGCACTTATTGGGGTCACTGGGATGCTGAGGTGACCACTGGGGTCATGGGGGCCCCCCAATTGGGCACATGCTGGGGTAACTGGGAGCACTGTGGGGGGAGTACGGGCACCATGGAACCCCCCACCTGGGCACATATTGGGGTCACTGGGAGCTGCATGCGGGCACTGGGGTCACTGGGAAGATGGGGTGACCACTGGGGTCATGGGGACCCCCCAATTGGACACGTGCTGGGGTAACTGGGAGTAGTGTGGGGGGAGTACTGGCATCATGGGAACCCCCACTTCAGCACATACTGGGGTCACTAGGAGTAGTATGGAAGTACTGGGGTCACTGGGAAGATGGGGTGACCACTGGGGTCATGGGGACCCCCCACTTGGGCGCATGTTGGGATTACTGGGAGCAGTGTGGGGGGAGTACTGGCATCATGGGGACCCCCCACCTGGGCACATATTGGGGTCACTGGGGGCACTATGGGGAGTATTGGGGTCACTGGGAAGATGGGGTGACCACTAGGGTCATGGGGGCCCCCCACCTGGGCGCATGCTGGGGTTACTGGGAGGACTGTGGGGGGAGTACTGGCATTATGGGAACCCCTGCTTGGGCACATATTGGGGTCACTGGGAGCAGCATGGGAGTACTGGGGTCACTGGGAAGATGGGGTGACCACTGGGGTCATGAGGACCCCCCAATTGGGCACATGCTGGAGTAACTGGGAGCAGTGCGGGGGGAGTACTGGCATTATGGGACCCCCCACCTGGACGCATACTGGGGTCACTGGGGGCAGCATGGGAGTACTGGGGTCACTGGGAAGATGGGGTGACCGCTGGGGTATGAGGACCCCCCACTTGGGCGTGTGCTGGGGTTACTGGGGGGAGTACTGGGGTGACTGGGAAGATGGGGTGACCACTAGGGATCATGGGGGCCCCCCACCTGGGCGCGTGCTGGGATTACTGGGAGCGCTGTGGGGGGAGTACTGGCATCATGGGGATCCCAGCTTGTGCACTTATTGGGGTCACTGGGATGCTGAGGTGACCACTGGGGTCATGGGGATCCCCCAGTTGGGCACGTGCTGGGGTAACTGGGAGCAGTGTGGGGTGAGTACTGGCATTATGGAACCCCCCACCTGGGCACATATTGGGGTCACTGGGAGCAGCATGGGAGTACTGGGGTCACTGGGAAGATGGGGTGACCACTGGGGTCATGGAGACCCCCGACTTGGGCATGTGCTGGGGTAACTGGGAGTAGTGTGGGGGGAGTACTGGCATCATAGGGACCCTCGATCTGGGCACATATTGGGGTCACTGGGAGCAGTATGGGAGTATTGGGGTCACTGGGATGCTGCGGTGACCACTGGGGTCAGGGTACCCCCCACCTGGGCACATATTGGGGTCACTGGGAGCAGGGTGGGGGGAGTACTGGCATCATGGACACCCCAGCTTGTGCACAAATTGGGGTCACTGGGACGCTGAGGTGACCACTGGGGTTGTGGACACTTGGACACATGCTGGGGTTACTGGGAGCACTGTGGGGGGAGTACTGGTGCCACTGAGATGCTGGGGTGACTACTGGCATTACGGGGACCCCCCATTTAGGTGCATACTGGAGTCACTGGGAGCAGTATGGGAGTACTGGGGTGACTGGCACCTCTTCAGTAAACACTGGGTGACTGGAACCAGCATGAGCAGTACTGGGGTCACAGGACCCCCCTTGAAGGGTGTACTGGGGCCACTGGGATGCTGGGGTGACTACTGGGGTCATAGGCTCCCCCTTTGGGGAGGTACTGGGGTGACTGGGACCAGAATGAGTGGTACTGGGGTCACTGGGAGCAGCAGAGAGGGGAGTACTGGAGTCACTGGGACTTAGGTGACTACTGGGGTCATGGGGACCCCCCAGTTGGGTGTATGCTGGGGTCACTGGGGAGTACTGGGATCACTGGGACTCTGAGGTGACTACTGGCATCATGGGGTGTCACCCTGACCATCCCGTACTGGGGTTACTGGGAGCGACGTGGGGATACTGGGGTTACTGGGAGCAGTATGGGCAGTACTGGGATTGGTGGGTCCCCCTCCAGCGGGAGTACTGGTGTCACTGGGAGGAGTGTGGGGGGGCTGGGGTCCAGTAGGACCATAGGAGTGCATTGGAGTCACTGGGAGCAGCCGTGGGGTACTGGGGTTACTGGGAACAGTGGGGGAGGGTAACTGGAGTCGCTGGGGCCGCGCTGAGGTGGGCACTGGGAGGATACTGGGATCACTGGGACTGGGGGCTCTGGGACCCTGGCCGGGGTGGGCGCTAGGGGGACCCGCGGTGGGCCCCACGGCATGTCATTGCCCCTTTAAGGCGCTGCCGACCCTCCAAACGCCGCTCCGTCCCACGCCGATCGCTGATTGGCGGGCGGCACGCCGCGCGCGCCCAACTCAACGTGCGCGCAGGCGCGGCGCCGGCCGGCCTCCCCCCCCCTCCCACCACCCGTCCCCGCCGCTCACCTCTGACGTACACCGTTGTGGCCAATCCGCGTTCGGCGGCGCCCTCCGCGGCTCTGCGCGTGCGGCCAATCGGGAGCGCCGAGGCGGGGTGCTGCTTTGCATAATAATAGAGGGGGCGTGGCCAGGTGAGGAAGAGCCTCGGAGGGGCGCGGAGGAGGTGGGGGGAGCAAATC